AAGCTACAGGGAGAGGGGAGAAAGAGAGAAAACAGTATAGGTTCTAAAACTCATCACTGCTGGGGACTTGTCTTGAAAAAGAGTGCTTTTCCCTAACACACGTCAACGTCTTCCTCTGGCTCCCATCTAAGACGCATGAGGGGAGTTCGTTTTTTACAATATAACACACGGGACTACATAAGGGACCCGCAGGCTGGGAGTCCTGCAGGCGCCAGCCCCGCGCGCGCTCTGCCTTAGATCAAAGCTGTGTCAAGCAGCACAGCCCTGGGAGATAAGAATCTGAGGTCCCTGCGATCGCAGCGTTGAGATTTTCCACTAAAAATATTTACCAAATTTTGAGAAAATCTGCTTCATGCATTGAAGGGAACAGGATGAGGTTTGGTTCTGAACTGTTGAGAAAAGCTGTACAAATATTTACTACGAGCCACTGGTGGCCGGTGTGTTTTCCTGCCCTGTGAGGTGTGTGAGGTGGGCAGGGGGCTGTTGAACCCGATGGCTGCGGCCTCATCTTGCCATTAAAAGAAGAAGAAACGGGGGAGAAGGTGCCGTGCTTTGGGGTCCTCAAAAGGCAAATATCATTTGAAGTGAGAAATAACAATTTTCTAGAGGTTACCACAAAAGGCTCCCATGACATTTACATAAAACCTTCTAGGCAAGGGTTGCTCCAGCCCTGGAAGAAAAAAAAGGGTGTGCGTGTGCACACGTGTGTGTGTGTGTGTAGGGTGCGGTATGTGATTTGGAAATGAATTTACAAATCACAAGCCAGTCTTTGTGACAAAAATAATACAGACTGGCAGGTGTCACAATTCTGCCTTATTTGAAAAATCGCATTTGCTCTCTGGCGGACACCTTTGACATAACCTGCGTGAATACCCCTGGGTGTCAGCCCCATCCTCTGGGGGGATTTCCAGGGAGAGATGCTATCTATGCATGAGCCAGGCACGGGGAGCCCTGACGGAGCAAGGGAGCCCAGCTTTGTTCCTCCCTACGGAGACTGCCAATGTCACAGATGCCACCTCTGCAAAGGGTGGGAGGGCGCCTTGCCCACATGTAATAAGATCCCTGAGCGCCGTGCAGCGAGTCTGAGAGCTGGTTAGGGGTCGTGCATGGAAGGACCCAAAAGAGCCCCTGGGAGGGGAGGAATTGAGGCGCAGAGCCCACGAGGAGTTCCCATGGTGGGGGACACTTGGGAAGGCATCAGGTCTGGAGAGGGGCTGCCACTTTTGCTCTTTATGGCCAGATCCCCCGTTGCCTGAGTGCATATGCTATTTTGCAGTTAGCAGTGGCAGGCGAGGGGTGCTGACTTGGGGCTTTGAATGGGAGAGATGAAAGATGAGGGGCCATATTCACCCCGCCAGAAAAGCAGAGAGGCAGTGTCCAGAGCTGCAACCAGAGCCCCCTTCTGAGGCATCTGCCCCGGCCCTCACCTCCCTCAGGTAGAGCCTCCGCCAAGCAAGGGGTTGAGGTGTCCTGGAGGCAGGTATACCCGATGTCCCCAGGGCGACGGCTCCCATCTGTTCACACGTATACTCAGATGCTGGGGTGGGACAGCCCAGCCCCTCTAGGCCTGCACCCCACCCCACAGCCCCCCAGGCCCCAGCATTTGCACCCCACTGAACGCCAGATGATAATCAAGTCACACAACACTCCCTGGATCCGCCTCTGGGTACAGTGTGCCCAGGTAGGCAAATGCTTCTATTTTCAAACTCAGTGGTCTTTACAGAACAGAAAGTGCTGCAAACGGCAATCTGCCTGCAGTCAGTTTAAACATACAAGGCTGACATTCCTCCCTCTCAGAATGGGGCCGTTCCTTGGCACTGACAGCGGGTCTCACCCAGCCCTAGGACAGACTTTCCAGAGGGCTCAGACGGAAGCTCCGAAGCTTCCTTGACCACAGCAGCGCTGGAGGATGGGGGCGTGGGCAGGAAAGAGGGACTCCGCCTGGTTGGTCGTTTTAGGCTCCTTGGGACCCCCTCCCCATCCTGGCTGGCAGGCAAGTGCCAGAATTTTCCAGGCCCCTTGAGATGGTGGAACCACTTGTCCCATTGTAGAACTTCACATGTACCCACCGGATTATCTCTCTGAGATCATCGTGGGAACGGAATTAAAGTAGTTAAGTTCAAGGCTGAGGTGCTAACCGCAGGGTTCAAATGGAAATGCCATTTTTAAAGTGGATCTTGTGCAATCAACAAAAGGTTTTGGGACCCACATGGGCACATGACGGGGAGAGGTCACTGAGCCCTGGTTTCGATGTTGGCCTGGCGTTTCAGAGGAGCAGGAGAGCTGGCAGCACTTAGGACCTCAGGGCTTCCTCGGTGGCTGCATCCTGTGTGGCACTCCCCACAGGGAGGTCAAGAACCCACGGCCACTCTGGGTGGACGCCACACACAGGTACGGGAGGGGCTTGTTTTGCAAGGGGAAGAATGACTTTTGTCTTCTTTTGGTGAGACAGCTGTTCGAATCAAACAGGACAGCCGCTGGTTAAACTGGATCTCATGTCACTTAGGTAAAAGCTGTTCGTTAGTGCAATTGTGGGGAGGGGGTGAAAAGACATCATGCTCATCACTATCACCTATGTGGCTTTGTTTAGGAGGTGAAAAGGTCATTAGCAGTAATAAAATGATCATTAAATTTGGGAGAGGTTAAAGGTGACTGGCTGGTTAGCGGTGGAAGTGCACTGGCTGGTGTCACCGGGCGCTACAGGCAGGAACCGCAACGCAGGGCTGCGCTGACAGGAAGTGGCAAGGGTGGGGCCGGTCGCAGGATCCCACTATCGCAGCGGGGCTGAGGCCCAATCACTGACACCCACACAGCCGTTTCCTGCACTTAAAAAAAAAAAATCTGTTTCTCTCTTTGCAAATCAACAACTTTTACCTAGAAACTCTTCAGCGGTGAGCTCTGACTGATCTTGATCTCCGGTCCGTTGCAGAAAATACACCATTGTTTACCTGGGGGAGGTGTGTGCCATGGCTAACTTTAACCTAACTCTAACTGACAGGTTTCGGCGGCCTGCCGGGTCTGTGCTGCATCTGCCTGAAAGAAACCAGTTTCTTCTGCCCAAAACAGACAGCTGCTGGTTATTTAATACCTTGATATACCTTTCTAGAAAAGACCTCCAGACAAGGAGAACTTAAGTGCCCACACCAAAGCTCCATGCATGCCGCAAGGGATGGCCCTTGGTGGTCCCCCAGAGTATGCTTTCTGGCTTAGATCGAGACAGAACTGAGTATGTGGCCTTGAGAGCAGATGGCCAACTGTGGGCTACTCAGGTGTATGCTGTGACCGGAACTCTCCCTTGAGGAACCTCTGCAGGTTCCCAGGTGGAGGGGTCCACCTGTGACTGTCCGGGTCAACATCTGTCTGCCTGTGCACCCACACCACATGTCGGCCACACCAAATGTCAATTTCACCACAACTGAGCTTTCAACAAAATTTAAAAAGCAGTTCCCACGGAATTTGAAAACTGCAGCCTCTAGAACACAAGAGACAGCACCAAAAGCCACACGTGACTCAGACTCAAACTCACATTTGGTCCTGTATGAGCAATGACCCACAGAGGACCCTGGAGCCCTCTTTGACGTTCAACTCCCTGCACGCTGATTTTTTTTAACGGAAAAGATTTCTACTAAACTGTGACCTCACAGGGAGAAAAGGGCCCCATTAACAACTCCCGGAATGTGTGCAGCTACCTCAGCTGCCCAACCTGTCTCTCCTGGAAAAGGTGCCCATGGCAGAAGCTTGTGTCCCGGTCCCTGTGCCCCAGGGTGGGGATGGGGGCTACAGACCACACACGGCACATCACCATGCAAGGTGCTTCACCCACACACCCACCTGCTAGGCCTGAGTGGATCCCATGGTTGGGCAGGAAAACTGGGGCTCAGGGAGGTTAAGTGACCCACCTGGGACCTCCCTTTCCTCCAACGTCCAGAAACCAGCCTGATCAAGCAGTCCACTGGATTCTAGCAGGACTGGCCGCCCAGAGGACAGAAGGAAGCGGCCTCAGTTCTCCTGTCCTGGCCTCACACGTCAGCCATTTCCTGGTACAGAGGCCTAGCAGGGCTCTAGAAACCTCTGGGTGCCCTGAGACGGACAAACCCTGGATGAGAGCATGGGACATCAGACATGTTCCATTTGCCAGGCGGAGAGATGACAGAAAAGCTTGTTCCTTCACTGTGATTTTCATGAGTGTAGGTGTCACGCTGTGTGCATGATGTTTAAGACTGTTCGCTGGACAGTCTATGGGTCCTTCAGTCTTTCTGTCAGTCCGTCTGTCTCCACCAGCTCACGGCTTAACCGCCAGGCCCACAGGGGCTCCCATCTCACCTTCCTCCTCACTCAGCCATGCTGGGACCCATGCATCTTACACAAAGCCATAGCATCTGGGAAGCCCCGGAGTGACCAGGGGCAGGTGGCCATCATTGTGTGCTGGCCGTGTGGTCTCCCTGAGCAGAAAAAGGCTGGGGTAGCAAGAAAGGCAGAAAGGTGTTTTTTTTGTTTGTTTGTTTGTTTTTAAGAAAACATGAAGTCCAGCAGTTTGAAAATGTTGGACTTTATGCTTTCTTAAAAAAATAAAAAAATCACAGACTACATTCACTATCTCCTGTCTTAAAGCCAAGAAAACAAGAGATCTGCCTTGTGTATTCCTGGCAAACTTTCTGAGCACGACTTCACTCGACACTCATTTGCTGACTGCTCTTGCCCACAACCAGAGAGGCCTCCTGGGCTGCACGTGGGTCTGTGCTGTGTGGCCAGGAACCGGGAAGGGAATTGTGCAGAGCTGGGCTCCGATTCCCTTGACCAGAGAGCCAGGGTCGGGCAAGCAGCTTCCTTCGCAATCCCCCAAAGAGCCAAACACTTCTCCCCAACATATGACTCATCAAAAGGTCAACCAGTGGGTCATCTGTGGTGTTCGGTGTTCTGATTGTTAGAGGTTAGTACGGAATCACAGCACAAATAATGCTGCAAGCTCAAACGGCAACCACCACACGGTCTGTACCTACCACCCAGCAGCGTGTACAATGCAGAATTTTTCTGTTCAGCCATTGCTTCTGGGTAAAAGAATCAAATGAGAAATATTTAGGCCTCCACACAGATCTGCAGTTGCTCCGGACTTAAAATGCTGCGCTCGCATTTGCTGTTTTAGAGAATGTTCTGAAGCTCATGGCTTGGTTCTCGTTACTCCTATCTTGGGGCAGGAGGCAGGTCACTGGGTGTAGACCTGGCCCTGCTGCCACCTTGCTGCGTGACCTTAGGGAGCCCCCATGACCTCCCCCCTCCCTTTCCTCTTCCAGGAAATGGGCATGGCCTGGCCTGTCTCTCTCACGGGTCTTGCTGGGACCTAGTGCGATAAGAACTGTGCAGGCGCTTCCTAAGGGCCCGTCGAAGTTAATATATCTCTGCAGAACGCCGAGGGGCACAGCAACTGTCAACCACAGCAGAACGAAGATGCAGTGGCCTGCGCCACTAGCCAAGGAGCCCAGGACCCCCTGGGTCTCAAATTGTGCAACAGCTCCCTAAAAAGCCTCAACCCTGAAACTGGCCCAAGGAAGTCACCCAAACCCCTGGTATCAAACGTTCTACTTTTAACAAGCATTCTTTTCTGCTTTCGAAGCCCACAGCACACTAAGAGCAGAAGCCAAGGTGGGGTGGGTAGGCTTGCAGGGGAGACACAATGGGAGGTGACAACTGAGGGAAAGTTCAAAGGCAGACCCAGCGCTGGGTTTAGGTACATGGGGAGGCGGGGGTGGCGGTTTCCATGAAACACTGAAAATGAAGCTTTGCACCTGTGAGCTGTTGAGTGGGATGACTCCTCCTCAGGGCCCAGCAAATACGGCACTGCTCGGCAAGTGTGTGCACCCATATGAGAATACATGCACATATGTGCAAATGTGTGTACATGTGTGTAAGCACAAAGAATGCGCATGCGTGTGCACATCTGCATGCATGCATGATGCAATATCTGTGTACTGCTCACCATCTGTGTACTGCTCACCTGTATACATGTATGTGTTCACATGTGAATATGTGCATGTCTCAATGAATGCATGCACACATATAAGCATGGAGGGTGCTCACGCCCAGCTGTTATCTATGAGAGCACGTGTGTGTGCAGGCATGCACAATGTAGTATGTGAGTGCGTGCTGCTCATCTCTGCGAATGCGTGTGTGTGTTCACAAGTGAATATGCACACATGTCCACAGATGCATATAAGCATGGAGAGTGTGCATGGAGGAGGTGCATGGGAGAGTGCGTGCATGCATGCATACGTGTACATGCAGGCACATGCGAGAATACTCGTGACGCAGTATGTGTGTGAAGGCATGCTCACTTGTATGCACGTGTGTTCACATGCAAACAGGTGCACGCATGCATGTGTCTGCAGGCGTGGAGATGTGTGTGTACACAGGGTACACAAGTGCATGCAAGAGTGTACATGTGTGCATGCACATATATGCATTAATACATGGCCGCACGTGGGAATGTGCACATGAGTGTGTGCCAGCTGTGTGCATGCATTGTGATTACGCATATATGTGTGTGTACATGTGTGCTTCTGCTCCCATCTTTTAGGCAAGTGAAGAGGCCCACTGCCATTCCATCATGAGGCCAGCAAGGATCCCTGAAGAGCCACTGCCTCTGTGTAAGGTACAGGCGGCCTCTTGCAGATGGAAGGGAGTCCCTTTGTTGTTTTGTTTTTCCTCCTCTTGATGGTAAATGTCTTTGATGTGTGGCTTACAGAAATGATCTCTTTACCCATCTGTATCTGCTCAACAGTTCACAGAAAATCTGCTCTAAATCCACACAGCCCATACTTGGTCATACTTTTTCTCCTGACTCATCCACGAGAAAGCCAACCTGGGCACTGCAGGCTGGGTCCCCATCCTCCTGAGAGAAGGCCATGGCCAGCCCAGGGGACAGGAGGAGAGAGCCGGTGTTGCAGAAATAACTTCCCCTATGTTCACCTCTACTGACAGGTGGCCCATGTGCAGGACCGAGAGTCACTCGTAACTAGTGAGCTGGGGGCACGCGGAGCCTGCTAGGTCCATTCCAGGACCTGCGATGACACCGGGGCTGCAAAGTGAGGCCAGTGGCAGATTCCAGGAGAGGGGCAAGTGCAGGCAGGAGGGTGAGCACCGCTTCCCTCGCCGGAGCTGATGGAAAGGGTTCGGGGGCACACCCTGTCCAGGGAAGACGGGTAACAGAAGGCATGGTCCTGGGAGTGTGTGGGTCTCCTGTGGCTGCCCACAATTCGACAGTGTGGGGAACACTGCCTGGAGGCTAGAGAATGGGAGGCATCCCAGACCGGGGCACAGACGGAATAGGCAATGACCGGGTAGATAAATGGATCAGGGAGCTGCAGCGACTCCTTCTGCCACTTGAAGCAACAGCTTTCTGTTTGAGAGTCTGGTCAACTGGCCGCCAGCCTACCTCTATCACATGAGAGAAATTCCACGTGTGAGTTAAAGGGCTTCAGAATCTTCAGGGGATCCTTGAGGGCCAAGGTTAGGAGACATTGGTAGCACCGGCCATGGGGAAGAGGGGCAGGGCCTGTAGGAAGCCCCCACCTCAGAGCCATGCGTCTAGATGCCTGGGCGAGCTGGGGCGGAAGGGAGCCCCGAGCCATCCTGCCTCCTCACATCAGATGCCGCCAAGGACAATTTCCCGCTCCCTCCACTCTCAGTCCTGAAGCAGCTGGGAAGGGACTGGACCAAGAAGTGACTCCTGCTGCCCTCACCCCCCAGAGGTCCTCCTTGAGCACAGACGGGGAGAAGGATGGAAGAGAAGAGGCCGGAATGGCCACAGGGCTGCCGGCCATGACTGGCTCCTAAAGTGTAGCCGGGGTGTCGGGGTGGCACTGACATGCTCGGGCAGAGGCTGCATGAAGCGCCCCCAGTCACAAGGATGGCTCTAAGGCCAAGGCTTTGTGCACTCCAATACAGAGCCAGACGCCCAGGGGCCCACAGGACGGGGCGAGGGCCAGCAGGCGGGAGGCACACACCACGCACACATGGCGCTTGAGTGGACCTGGGCGGCTGGGCCGGGAGGACCCTCTTGCTCCCCACACAGGGTCCTGCGGCATCTGCTGCTACTCTGGGCTGGTGAGCAGGGGGGCCCTGGTCCCCCGCCATCCTGCACCGGCAGGCGGCGGCTGCGAGAGAAGAAAGCTTACTGACCGCTGGGCGGTTTAGGCCGTGGAGGAGCGGGTTTCTTCGGAGGCAGAGCAGGAGTGTCCTGTTTACTTTTAAAGGGGTCATCTGAGAATCCTGCCCCTCCCAAGGAGGAGGTGAAAGGGCCAGAAGGTGGGGGCTGTAAGAGAGGACACGAAAGAGAGGCAAAAATAGTTGTTAAAACAAAGGTGACGGATGTCCACTCAACAGACGCTCATGCTCCAAGGGCCCTGGCGAGGCCTCCTACCCTCCGGACTGCACATCACGGCCTTGCTCGGACGTGGGGTCTCTCTCAAGCCCCGTGCTTTCCTCCACCCTCAACAGCAGGGGCCCTCTGGCCTGTGGGTGATAGGCAGAGAGCAGTCCCATCCCTCCACGGGCTCCCAGCACCAAGGGCATCCCCAGCCACAAGGGGCACACTGGCTCTTTCCTGACTCCAGGACTTGGCACACAGGGTCCCTTGGGCCTCCTTACATTTCAGAGACACGCCCCACCCTCACCTCTGTGCTGGCTGTGGTGCTTGGCGCATGCCCTGCTGTGCCGCCTCCCCACTGAGCTGGCTGGTGTGGTCACTACCTTCAGTTAGTGACGGGCAGCTCCAGGTGCTAGTTCAGCTGGCACCAGACCTTCCTCCTCCATGCCTCTGGGCTGCACACGAAGCACCCGAGGTGGGAGCGCACCCTCACATGCCCAGCCCACCCCCACTGTCAGCACGCCCGCAGCCTCCACTGGGCTCTGACCACCTCTGGCCTGGACTCTCAGCCAGCCTCCATCACACCCATCCACATCCTCCACCCCACACCTGCTGCCTCAAACCCAAATCGGACCACATCCTCCAGCTTAAAGAGTGAGACGGTCAGAGACAGTTATAACAATTGGATAGATGAATGGATGGTGGGTAGGTAGATGAATGGAATGGTAGCTGGATGAATGGATAGACATATATGTGGATTAATGGACGAATGAATGGCAGGTGGGTGGATGGATGGATGGGCAGGCAGGTAGAGACAGGGAGGCAGGTGGGTGGTAGACAGGGAGGCAGGTAAGTGGCAATGTCTCGCAGGTAGGTGGGTAGGCACTTCCTACGGGGAAGCTCCAAGCTCTCATTAAGGTATGCAGGGACTCTATCACTGCCCCGGCCGCCTGAATTTCAGGCTCACCTCTGAAGTCACCCCTCCCTTCACAATGCCTCCTTAGTCCCCAGAACCCACTGCACCCCCAGCCGCTGACTCAGCCTCCTGTTTCCATGCTTTGCACACTCAGGTCTCCTGCTGGGGAGCTCGGCTCACCTCGTTCACCAGGAACCCCTCTCCTTGCTCAGAGCCTGGCTGGACCCCACTGCCGTCCCTCAGAGCTCTCCCCAGGGCTCTCCCTGGGGCCACTTCCTGCCACCCATGCCCGCACTGCTTACTGAGCCACAGAGACAGGCTTCCAGGCCTCTCCCACCTGGAGGGCAAGCATAGTCCCCTTCCAGGCGCCTGCTGCCTCCAGGCCTGTGATGAGCAGATATTAAGCGCTGCCACCTGGAGGGATGCTTGTCCCTCACTTGGAGCGCCGGTGCGGCACAAGGGAGCCAGGGTCTCCATCAGCCACAGAAGGGCTGGCGCATCTCAGGCATGTGAGGGAAGGGGCTGGGGTGTCCCAGGAGGGAGAAAATCACTTTCTATGGGCAGAAGATGGATGAGGAACCACTCTTACTAAAACAGAAAATAACTAAGTGTGTAATAAAATAGAAAATAACTACATTTTTACTAACAGAGGAAACACATTGTTACAAAAATGCAAAATAACTAGGAAATCATAGGACAAAGAGATAACATTGAGACAGGAAACAAAATGAACGGGCAGAAATAGGGGTAAAAATGGTCATGTGTTCCTGGCTGGGCGCAATGGTTCACGCCTGTAATCCCAGGACTTTGGGAGGCCGAGGCGGGAGGATCACAACGTCAGGAGATTGAGACCAGCCTGGCTAACACGGTGAAACCCCATTTCCACTAAAAATACAAAAAATTAGCTGGGCGAGGTGGTGGGCGCCTGTAGTCCCAGCAACTCAAGAGGCTGAGGCAGGAGAATGGGGCGAACCTGGGAGGCGGAGCTTGCAGTGAGCCGAGATCCCGCCACGGCACTCCAGCCTGGGCGACAGAGCGAGACTCCATCTCAAAAAAAAAAAAGAATCATGTGTTCCTCCAAGAGCATAGAAAAGAACGATCAGAGTGGGGCAGAGATGGAGGGAGGGGCCCGGGGTCTTTAACCTTCTCCCCAGCAGGGCAGGCCTAGAGACAGAGAACAGGTCAAGAGCACAAAGGCACACGCCCAGGATTTCCCTCGAGAATCCGGATGCAACAGATCGCAGATGTGGGGGAAAAGGTCTAACACCACCTCCAGCAGACGGTCCTAGAGGTATGGCCACCTCTGCCTCCAATGTCTAGTCACACCGACGCAGCCGACTAAGGGTCCAGTGTCTAGTTATGCTGACACAGCCATCCAGGCCTTCAGCGTCTAGTCACACCAACGCAGCCGTCTAAGGCTCCAGTGTCTAGTCACACAGACGTGGCCATCTAAGGCTACAGCATCTGGTCACACCAAGGCAGCTGTCCAAGGCTCCAGCATCTGGTCACACAGATGTGGCCATAGAAGGCTCCAGCATCTAGTCACACAGACACGGCCATCTAAGGCTCCAGCATCTAGTCACACCAATGCAGCCCTCTAAGGCTCCAGCATCTAGTCACACCAGTGCAGCCATCTAAGGCTCCAGCGTCTAGTCACACAGATGTGGCCGTCTAAGGCTCCAGGGTCTAGTCACACAGATGTGGCCGTCTAAGACTCCAGTGTCTAGTCGCACAGATGTGGCCATCTAAGGCTGTAGTGCCTAGTCACACCAATGCAGCCATCTAAGGCTCCAGCACCTCGTCACACAGACACAGCCATCTAAGGCTCCAGCATCTAGTCACACAGATGTGGCTGTCTAAGGCTCCAGCATCTAGTCACACCAATGCAGCCGTCTAAGGCTCCAGCATCTAGTCACACCAATGCAGGCGTCTAAGGCTCCAGCATCTAGTCACACCAGTGTGGCTACCTAAGGCTCTAGCATCTAGTAACACAGATAAGGCCATCTAAGGCTCCAGCATCTAGTCACACCAGTGCAGCCATCTAAGGCTCCAGTGTCTAGTCACACAGATGTGGCCATCTAAGGCTGTAGGGCCTAGTCACACCAATGCAGGCGTCTAAGGCTCCAGCATCTAGTCACACCAATGCAGGCGTCTAAGACTCCAGCATCTAGTCACACCAGTGTGGCTGCCTAAGGCTCTGGCGTCTAGTAACACAAATAAGGCCATCTAAGGCTCCAGCATCTAGTCACACCAAAGTGGCCATCTAAGGCTCCAGTGTCTAGTCACACCAATGCAGCCATCTAAGGCTCCAGCATCTAGCCACACAGACGTGACCACCTAAGGCTCTGGCATCTAAAACATAGACGTGGTCATTTAAGGCTCTAGCGTGTAGTCACACAGACACGGCTGTCTAAGACTCTAGTGTCTAGTCACATAGATGCAGCCATCTAGGCTTCCAGCATCTAGTCACACCAATGCAGCCGTCTAAGGCTCTAGCATACAGTCACACAGACATGGCCGTCTAAGGCTCTAGCATCTAGTCACACAGATGCGGCCATCTAAGTCTCCAGTGCCTAGTCATGCAAAGGCAGCCATCTAGGCCTCTAGCATCTAGTCACACCAACACAGCCATCTAAGGCTCTAACATCTATTCATACAGACGGGGCCATGTAAGGCTCTAGCCACATCGATGTGACCATCTGAGGCTCTAGCATCCAGTCACACCAGCGTGACCGTCTGAGGCTTTAGTGTCCAGTCACATCAATGTGGTGGTCTAAGGCTCTAGCAACTAGTCACACTGATGTGGTTGTCTAAGGCTGTAGTGTCCAGTCACACCAACGTGGCCATCTAAGGCTCTAGTGTCTAGTCACACCAACATGGCCGTCTAAGGCTCCAGGGTCTAGTCACACAGATGCAGCCATCTAAGGCTCTAGCATCCTGCCACACTGACGCAGCTATCTGAGGCTCTAGTTTCCAGTCACACCAATGCAGCCATCTGAGGCTCAACTGTCTAGTCACACAGATGCAACTCTCTAGGTCTCCAGCATTTAGTTGCACAGACATGGCATTTAGGCCTCTGGAGTCTAGTCAGAGACGTGGCCACCTGTGTCTCTGGCAGTTAGTTATAGAGATGCAGTCATCTAGGCCTCTAGCATCTAGTTACAGAGATGCATCCTTCTGGGCCGCTCGCGTCCTGTCACAGACATGGCTGCCTTGGACCTTGTGTAGTCCTAGAGTCGAGGCTGCTCAGCCCAGTCAGAGCCACATCAGAGACAGAACAGGGAGGTGACCCCTCTAAGAAGCAGCCTACCCATTCCAGGTCCCCCTGACGAGGGCAGAGGCAGATGCCCTCAGGGAGGGGAAGGGGCCCCAAAGGCTCCTGCACAGATGACCCCGCCAGATCCCTTCCCTGGGCTTCACGCCGCCCTCTGGAGCCGCCCAGGCAGGAGACACTCGCTCTGTGCTGATCTTCTTACCTAATAGGCCCAGTTACCTGGCAGGGGGTCCCACAGTCAGCACCTCTGCCTTACACACAAGGAAACTGAGGCACACAAAGGAGGCGCAGCCTGCCCAAATCACACAGCAGGCCCAGGTCTGCAGCAGATCTGGGACTGCCACATCGTCTGCCTCTCAGGCTGGGGCCTCCAGACGCTGCCCTCAGCTGCCAAGGGCCACCCGAGTTGTAGGTCCAGGGCCTCATCCTGGGCAGAATGTTCTGCCCAGGCTGGAACCTCAACCCTGCCACCTACTCAACGCCCTGTGCCTCGGTTTCTTCATCTGTAAAATGGCAAGAGTGACAGAGCTCGGAGGGCTCCAGCAAGAAGGGAATGAGGTGACATGTGAGGCATCCGTCCACCCACTGGCACTAGGTAAAGCTGGCACATGGACTACACGATAATGATCACACCAAGTACGAAGCCGCGACTGGAATCTGGGAATGCCCCACCTACTGCCCCAGCTGTCCCCAGGCCTGTCCGAGACACGAGGGGCAGGGTCGGCTTGCGGCTTAGCTTTAAAATGGGCCATTTAGGGTCGGCTGTTTGGGTAAGAATCGGGGAAAGAACACCGGCCCGTCTGTGGGTGCTTCTGCCATTCACAGAACACATCCCTGGGCCTAGGGCCCATGCAAGTCCCCCGCAGCCTGGGATGGGCAGGCGAGCGAGTCTAGATGGGAAGTGGTGTGACCGGCCGGGCCTTGTCCTCCCTAGACGTGTGCTGGCTTCTGGGCCACATCTCCAAACTCGGAGTGGAGCCTCGGTCCCAGTGGCTGCAGTGAGCCTTTCCACCCTCTGCGTCATGTAGTAAGACCCGGGCAAGTAAAACCACACTCAGCCTGGACATCCAAAGTTGTAAGACCTGGTGACACACTCAAATCAGAGCTGCCTGACCCTCGAGGCTGACTGGGGACACCTCGGGCCAAGCCGGCTTGGCGCCTCCCGTGTGTGTTTAAACCCACGAGGCCAATCGGCAACTTGCGAGGCGACAGGCTTCCAATAAACGCCTGGCACTGCCTCCGCAGTGAATCAGATCACTCCTAGCGCCAGAACGCCCGCGTCATTTCCGAATCCCAATTTTCATGACTTCAAGTTTCCCAAGAAGCCTCCTTGGGGACTCAACTCTTTCCTACTCAGGCAGCGGCTTCAAGGAAAGTTGCTATTTTTAGAAAGGCTTCAGTAAAGCTGTCAGGGGCTCTCTGGGCTCGGCAAGAGTGAAGTGTGCTTAAAATAAAAGGAAGACAGAAAAAGCTACTATGAAAACCAGCTCTAAGAGAAACACACGTTTGAGTTCACCAGTTGAAGAACTGCTTCAAAACAAAAGACTGAATTTTTAAACAGCAGCCCTAAACATCAACGCACAGCTTTAAACGATTGAGAAGTTGCTAAAAATGGGCTGACGACTAACCCAATATTTCACAGATGGCTTTTTTTTTTTTTTTTTTTTTCAGGGCAGGGGAGGGTGAAATAAGTTGGACTCTTGTTTTTATTCTCAAATGCTCCCTGGAAACATACTTTGGGGAGTCTGTTTTTAAAGCGAGCTGATGTCACGTAGGTTTGACACTGTCTAGAAAAATCTCTTCAGGTGAGGGTGGGGCCTCAACTAAGAGTGCAGGCCCGAAGAGCCTCCCAAAGGAAACTTCTAGAATTAGACTCTGGGCTGTGACTCTCCTCAGCAAAGCCACACAGAGGTAAGGTGCTTCAATTCAGAGACTTACAAAAGGGCCTCCCCGCCCTGCTCAGATGGGGAAAAGTTGATGATGGTTTGTTTTTTTAAAAAAAAAAAAAAAACACCTTCTTGCCACTTTCATTTCCCTTAGCATTTTATTTATATCCACAATGTTGTTCTTGAAAAACAGAAAGGTAACCAAAAAGGAAAAACCGAGTTACAAGGTCAGGGTTGAGCTCAGAATGCGGCTGTACAAGTGTCATGAAGGCAGCTGACGGAACGGTGGAATCAAAACAAGATAGTATTGGAGACCCATTTTCCACAGCTCCGTCCAACTCTGTCCTAGCCTGGCACCGCCAATAGGAAATGAGACCAGCTCTGAAATCACAGCTGCATGTGTGTGAAGAGCCCCTGGTTTCAGGGCCCAAGGACAGGCAGAGGGCGGTCATTAGACCCCGGCCCTAGTCCAGGTTCTGCTAGCTCCCCGCTCTCCACTCACAGTGAGAGAAGGAAGCCAGACCCAGCCTCCCAAAGGAAGAGGAGTCCATATGCGACAACCAGAAACGACCAGGACCCCTGCCTTAGGGACTGCTGCCACCGTGTGGCCAACGTTTTCTGCTTTCGGAAGATGGTTTCCCGCCTGCCCAGGAGCCTGTGCAGCGGCCCCTAAATCTCCTTCCCCTGGTGCCCTCCTGGCCAGTCCCAAACCGTGTCACAGCGTGGCATGTAAGGGATGGAGGCCTTCTCCGTGTGCTGGAAGGAGGGGGCGCCACACCAGGGCCTCTGGGCTCCCTCTGCCCAGGCTCATCTGTATAAACACACACCCTGCCTCGGTCAGAAGTGGGATTTGCTGCGTCGCCAGGGCACTCACACACGCGTCTTTGAAAACCTGAACAGAATCTCAAGTGCTTCTCGGAATCTGTGTTCTGTGATCACAAGTTGCGACCGCTGCCAACCACAAGATGCTCAGAGACTTGTTTGCTCCACCAGCTGAGTGAACGCAGGGCAGCCCAGTCACACTGGCACCTGGGGCACCCGGGCATGGGGCCGGCGGGGTGGGGAGCCCCAGGGGGCCTCATGCCTGGGGCATGCATCTTCCAGGTACTCCTGGGGCTCCCTCCCCTCACCACCTTCAGGCTGATAGCAGCACCCACAGACACTGGGCCCAGCTGCTCCAGGGGACCCCCCCACCGGCCACCCCTTACCACTTGGGCCATGGGCTCTAGGAAGGGGGCTGTGTTCTGCTTGTGGCCACTGCCTCTTCCCGCAGCGTGGACGATGCCTGGGCTTCTGCAGGTGGAACGCGTGAGGAAAGCAGGCCCCTGCAGCCCCCTGAGGACAGAGCCCATCCACCCCTGCCTGGGGGCTACCAAGAAGGGACAGAGTGGATGCAGGTGTCACGGACGGGGCACACCTCACCTGCTTTTCTTCATTCCTACCAAAGAAACACGCTCCTGGCTCAAACAGGGAGATATACAATTCACAAGGAAGCACAGTAGTGCCTCAGCCCCGGCCTCTTTCCCACTCACCATGGCCCCCATTTCCAACTTTCCAGCAGTTTCTTCTGGAAGGCACCTCAGTCGTAAGGGGCTTCTATTGTTATTTTTTGACTTGTCCATTCTGGACGTTCCCTGTTGAATTCTCTATGCTACCTTAAAGATTAGCTCCAGCCACACTGCCAGCCCCTGGAGAAGCCCTACAGCTGTCTGGGACCAGAGTCACAGTGAGTTCAGGTCACCGTGTGGTGAGGGCCGGACGCAGACGGGTCCAGTCTGGTAACGAGTCTTGCTGCTGTCCTCCTTCAACAGTTCACTCCTCACCTGTGGATCCGTCTGCATTTATTCACGGAGCCTGGCCCTCACTTTTCAACACCCCTCGAAAGTTCTGTCACACGGGCGGCTCCGAAAACTCGCTGGCCCGCTTTCCCCAGATGCCTTGCACCTGCGAGTCTGCTGCCCACGGCCCTCTTGAGACGCCCGTGCCCAATGCCTTCTCGAGTTTCTACTTGGCCATGGCAATGACTTCACCATCTGAGACCCAATGGTCGTGAGACACCAGTGGGAACCGGGGGAGCCCAGGGCACTTTTGCCACTGGGATGAGTCAGGGCTCACCCTGAGGGACTGAAGTGCATCGGATCACAGCCATGGGTGCTTTCCAGGCCTAACCTTGTATTTGAAAGGTGCCGGGGAGATACATACGTGACATGAACAATTACGCCTGGCAGCCCACACCATGACAAGAGGCACAAAGACACTAGCAGAGGCACGGGAGCTCCGTGGAAGGCTTTACCTTGGACATCTGGCTGAAGTCGGCAAAGCCTTCAGCACTATTGAAGGACCCACTTCCGAAGGGATCTAAGGTTCCAAAGGGATCTGCAATCGGCACCAACAAAGTCAGAGTTACAGGTCTTTAAGAGACACACCTTCTGGGGTGGAGGGAAGATGCTAGATGGCTCCTGAACCAGGAGACTCAGGAAGGCTGCATTTATTCATTAGACACGCGTGTCTGCATGAAGGTCCCTCAGCAAGGCCTGCCTGCCCACTCTGGCGTGGCGAGACGGTTTCTCACTGCGACGACCGCTCTGGGAGGGCCAGCATCATTCACGGTCATCGGAAGAGTGACAAGTTGCTGTAGGGGCATGGCCCCTGGGTCCTGCTGGGTCTCACTGGGTCAGGAGGGGAGGAGCAACTCCAGGGTGACCCGCCACCCACACGATTTATGCAGGGCGGTGTCTTTGGATAGAGGTTTTTGCTGTGTTTTCTCCTCTGACCTGGAAGGGATTTGCCTAGAGTACTGGATATACTCGCCTATGATCCGCCCCGCACAAGCTGCAGGACCAAGCAGGGCCTGTTCCCAAAAGAAAGCGGGTGTCCACAGATGCTCCTCTGTGTCTTTGTGTCATTAAGTTCAAGCTGCGCAACCCCAGGATCCTGGCTGAGCCCATTAGCCAAACAAAGCATCCCCTGCTGCTTCCCCTCTTCCCCACGGCGCTGCGCCACCGCACTGCGGCATCTTCTGGAAGGAACCTTTCGGCAGTAGGAATCTCAGTAATAGCACCAGTGGATATTAACCTTACTCGTTACCCTGCCCACCCTCTTACTACAAACTCTTGTTTGTACATCTCTTTCTTTGGTTCTTCTCCTGCCTAAAAGAAATCCAAATTGCACCAGGTACTGGCCTGTGTTGTGGTTCCTCTGTGTTTGAAGGAACCCCATCCACAGTGTAAGAACTCGCAGAATGCAACGCTCAACGCCCCTTCTACGCCAATCGGGAC